GACAAGGTCGTAGCTATTATAAAAGAAAACGAGATACATTATACCTCTCACGTCGCATGGATGTAGGCACATGGCTGTTCCGTCCTTCTTACGAGACGATCATGATCGAGTTGATGACTTTGCTGCGAAAATTAATCATTCTGGCCTGAGATGAATCGGAAAGAGCCAATAAAGAAGACACTACATATGCACACAAGCATCTCACTGTACTTGGAGGATTCGAGGGACTAGTAGGTAGCCCATCACTGCAAGGACTATCAAGGGCGCAGAATACGTTGGCGGTCCATCCTGATTAACAGACACGCACAAATTGAGCTCGGATTCATCGCTATATACCTGTCAAGGTAACTCACCCGTATGGACCACAAGAGTTTGTTCGCTGTGTGTGTCCGACAAAAGTGCAGACACTAAAAAACACATGCACACGAGTAGGGAGATGTGTTTGTACTTACACACCGACCCAGAGACACGAGAGGCGACCCGACAATGAGAGAGATCAACGCCAGCTGGGTCTTTTGATTATCATCGTGCAGCAACGCCTTAACTGGCAAGATATATTGCAGATATAATTGGCCTAAACCCTCCCCGAGACAGGAGACACTTGCAAGCTTCAGGGCGTAATCCTGTTTGTTTTTCATTCCGGTGGCCCCAGCGAAGCTCCGAAAGTATGCATATGGGGTCCCAACAAGGCAGCACCACCAAACCGGAGCCATGATATTATTTCGCCTCCACATGACATCCCAGCCGGCGTGATTGGCCACAGAAATGAGAATGGACACGATCATTGGAATACCAAATATAACTCGAGATCTCCACAGCCGAGACACGATCCTCCTCCCGCTGCATCCATCGGTGACGTGCACAACGACCAGGAACATAGTGAAGGCAAGTAGAATTCGACGCACGACGTCAAAAGCGATCCCCAGGACACCCGTCGCTTTGCACGGATAGACGCAAATTAGCAACAGTGCAACAATACACAGACTAACGCCGACGGCCGCCGTCAGCTGCCATAGAATAACTCGAAGGACTCGCTTGATGGTCGTCTTAAGCGGCTCTGGGCTGAAATGCGCGCCGACAAGTACTTCTATTGTGCTGCCGTCAGGATGGCTTATCGACTTGTACTCGAGATTTGTTGGATATTCTTCGTATGCCGCTTCGTATCCTGCAGCCTCCCTGGACAGGCAGGGAGAATAGAGAGGCCTTCATTTGTGAGGTAATTCGGTATCATACCTGAAGCCCCGTATCGACTCCGTTATCGCACGCTCCTCACAACGCAACTGACGACGAGAGGATTCTCTCATGTCGACGTTTTCCTCGGCATCTCCTCTGTCATCACTCATGCGATCCTTATGGGACTGCCTTGTGGCGCTGACCCGACAGCACGTGTCTCTGGTCCACGGCTGACTGTGCTGATGCTTCTTCTCCGTAGCGGCGACCTTGTCTGTCAATGTGAAGGCGGTGCTCGTCGACGAGAGTGCTGTTCGATAGAAAGGTGGTTGCCCCGCACTGTGTTCTTTGTCATCTTGGGTGCCGCTGGGCTGGCCGGGGGGCTGCTTGACAGCAT